AGGCCACAGGGTGCTCAGGGGGTTCTGCTTTGACTTGTTCCTGCCTTGTAGAGATCTTGCAAAAGCCCCCAATCCTTCCAAGGCATCTCACCCCATCATTTGTGAATTGTACCAATCTTTAGCACACCTGGACGAACAGGGATCTCTATTCTCTCAGCGCCAGTCCTTCCGTAATTAAAACAGCACTTTCTGGCACAGGATATCGACAGGCTCAGGGAAGCCCCAAGTTTGAAAAGATACAAAACAACTTTAGCAATCCCACCTTTCAAGTTTGCAATTCTAAGGTGGGGAAGGGGAAGGGGGACCTGAAGGCGGTCAAACAGTCTCGTGACAACAATCAGAAGGGTGGAGCAACTCTCTTGCACACCTCCATCCTTTCCCATTCATTTTTCTTTTACAAATGAAAAACAAATTATGCCAGCTCCTGGGCTGGCATAGTTTTCTCCTAGTGGTACTACTGGGAAGGGTATGGATCCTTTGAATTGATGCCTTCCCCAAGCCTACGCCAAACACACCCACCCTCTCTAAGGCTGGACCCCCGACTTTGGAAACGGAGAGGCTCTCAATGACCTCTGGGATGACTTCTCAGGGATCATAGGCCCGCATGGTCTGAGGGGGAATCTCATTAAAGCAGACCAGTGAGGACCAAGTCACGTCGGTGGCCACTGAATGCTGACTGAGTGTTGGAGGGAGGAGTCCGCATTGCCCCACTGTTGCAGGTGCCCCTTGCCCTTTTCTTTTAGTAAGGAATAATAATAATAATAATAATAATAATAATAATAATAATAATAAATTTTATTTATATCCCGCCCTCCCCGGCCAAAGCCGGCCTCAGAGTGGCTAACATTATACAAGTAAGACAATGCATAAAAACAAGTGATCAATAAATTAAGATACAGCCCAAAATTAATTCAAACAAATTAAAATTAAAACTGGACAAATGGCAATCTTCAGGTTAAAATTGAAGGCGGTCACCAACTGTTTCCACTAATATTATAAGCATCTGTGAGCGGGCTGGGAACCTCCTTCATTCTTGTTCTTATACAAAGAGAAAATGGGTCAGACTGAACCCTGACAAAGGCTGGGGTTCAGGCTGCTGCTGCAGCAAATATAAAGAGTAGGTTTGCAGCACTTACTGAGCTTGAGAGTAGATGAGAGGCTTTTCTCTTGTTTTAAAGTTTTCGCAGTGTTTCTAGCTGTTTTTAATTATCTCATATGTAAATCGCCTAGAGACAGTGGTTTAGAAGGCCATTGGCAAATTAATGATGATGATGATGATGATGATACGTGCGCCATGCGCTTCCCTTCATCAGAGCTCTTTACCAGGAACATCAAAGGAGCAGCTTGAAGGCTGGAAAGTAGGAGCCAGAGCTCAGTGCTGAAGGGGAAGTTGAGGAACAGGCTGGTTGCCACAAAGTCATGCTCTTTTAAAAGCTACTAGTTGGCAAATTTGATTCAAGAAGCTGCTGGCTTGGCAGGTCTGTGGATTCCAAATTTCCCTTACTATCTGCATTGGGAAAAATCCATCTATTACCATCTGTTTTGTGTTTTAGTATCTTAGAAGCTTCAATAATATACTAGTTTTGTTTTGTTTGTTTGTTAAAAATAACCAACCCTTTTTATTTTCATAGGTTACATGAGAGCATTTCCACTCAGGACATTAAAAAAAGAGAACAGCAGTTGTTGTTTAGTCGTTTAGTTGTGTCCGACTCTTCGTGACCCCATGGACCAGAGCATGCCAGGCACTCCTGTCTTCCACTGCCTCCTGCAGTTTGGTCAAACTCATGCTTGTAGCTTCGAGAATACTATCCAGCCATCTTGTCCTCTGTCATCCCCTTCTCCTTGTGCCCTCCATCTTTCCCAACATGAGGGTCTTTTCCAGGGAGCCTTCTCTTCTCATGAGGTGGCCAAAGTATTGGAGCCTCAGCTTCATGATCTGTCCTTCCAGTGAGCATACAGGACTGATTTCCTTCAGAATGGATAGGTTTGATCTTCTTGCAGTCCATGGGACTCTCAAGAGTCTCCTCCAGCACCATAATTCAAAAGCATCAATTCAGAACAGCAGTACATAACCCATAAAACAGAAGAAACTAAGAGGTACCCATGTGCAGACCTTGCAAAAGTCTTTCCAACAAATTCAGGGTAGTCAATAGCTGAATTTTTAAAAAGAGGGGCTCCCCTTTTGTTCTCTGAAATATTTATATTAAAAATAAAACTCCATCAATCTCACACAAATGGATCTTTGTGGTCCCCCTCACCCCCCCTACATATTCTTGGTTCACCTGCAAGTCGTCTCCACTAGGGGATCTGCCAATCCTTTCATACCAGGCTGTTAGGTTAGTTCCTCTAATATTCTTCCTAGGACTGCTAATAAATATCCTATCAGGGATTTGTCTGGCATGTTATCATCCAAAATATGACACTTGAGAGTGAACAAGTTCGTTCTACCAAGCATATTGAGTATAATTCATCCCCTGCCCCCCATTTTTGTCAACTTTGTATTATTGTTAATAGTTTTGAATGCCACATAAAAAATTAAGTTACCCCAGGATGCAACTCTTACAGTAAAAGGGTGGGGGGGAAGAGGTCAACTGGGGAAAGGCAACCGACGTAGACTTGCTGCCCTCTAGTGGCTCATAGTGGAGGGGAAAAATGAGTGTGTGTGTGTTAAGAGGAAAATCCAAAATTGGAGAATGGGGAAACTAAGGTTGAGTACAAGGCATCTTTCATTCTGTGGTTTCTGCATATTACATGCTCACCCACACTGTCATGAGCATGGCTGGGTACCATGCTCAGAGGGGATGCCACAACTGAGAGCATTCTGAACAAGGGACTACGGCTGCTACCATCACCAGCTTGTTGCTGCTGTTCTCTAGCTTGGTACCACCATTGTGACGGTGATGTAACTGACCCCCTTCCATAGCCACAGAAGGAAGCCCTGAGTTCCATGCAGACCAGAGTCACTAAGGCACTGAGCAAAGCCGGTGGGATTTATTTATTGTGGGGAGAAAATCTGGGGAAGGGGGGGGGGATTTTCAGAGGGAGAGGGTGAGGAGGAATGGGGCACCAGAAAGACACTGGTGCTTGAGGGTGAACTGGTTTGTCTTTCTGACTCTTGACTCCAAGGACTTTCCTGCACACCAAGACAGCTGTGGACTTCCTGTTAGAACTTTATTCTGGTATTGAGGGGCATAGGTTTTTTCCTCCTTTGGTTCTGAGCACACAAACTTCTGCCATTGTTACTGCTACTGCTGCCTCTCTGGGGTTGTTTGAGGTGGTGGTGGTGGGGCAGATTACAGGGGCTCTGGATCTCAGCCTCGTAGTTTGGACCTAGCCATGGCACCAGTTGTGATCGACACAGAAACATGTGGCTGGTTGCTGCTGGGAACTGGAAACTAGACAAGATGGGCCAGTGCAGTTCTTAACGTTCTGACCTTCCACTCTGCACCACTGGAGTTTGGAGGGTGGCTGCAGATCACATAGTTTTGCTCTGTGTGTAAGGATTTCCTGCTTGCTCTTCACAAACAAAATCTGCACACAGAAATTGTGGAACCCCAATAGTATGCTATTAAAGAAAGGTTAAGACAGAGATCTGTAGCCAAAAAACAACAACCCCTGAAATCATAATACAGTGGTGCCCCGCAAGACGAATGCCTCGCAAGACGAAAAACTCGCAAGACGAAAGGGTTTTGCGGTTTTTGAGGTGCTCGTAAGACGAATTTCTCTATGGGCTTGCTTCGCAAGACGGAACGTCTTGCGAGTTTGTTTCCTTTTGAAGCGGGAACTGGGCTGGCAGGGAGCGAGCAGGGGAGCGACCTACCTTTTCCAGAGGGATCCTCTTCTGGAGAGGGCACAGAGGAGGCAGGTGAGCTGGGATCCAGCTGATCTGGCTGGGTCTCTGTGCCGCCTCTGCCTCTGCCTCTCTCTCTCTCTCCCCCTCCCCACGTGGCTGCTCCATTTTGCCCTAACTGCGCGAAGGCAGGAGGAGGGGGACCAAGGAGGAGGAGGCATCCACTGCGCTTGGGCCGCCGTGAAGGCGCCTTTGCGGGGGTGGGAAGAAGCCGGGAGCAGCTGCCGAGACTGTGGGGAGCCCGGCGGCGTGGCACAAGGTAACGGGGGGAGCAAGGGAGAGTCCGCGCCGGGCGCTTCGTGCGTCCGCCCTCGGTTCCTGGGCTCAAACTTCCTTTGGCACCTCATGGAGAGAGAGGGAGAGGAGCGGGCTGGGGCTTTGATGTGGGACGCGGTTTGGCGGAGCGAAGACGCGGCAAGGCTTGGCGACAGAGGAAGGGGGGCTGTTTTCGTGGGGAGGTGGGAGGGGGTGTCTTTGCCTCTTCCCGGCAACAGATCCTCCAGGCTCGGAAAAACTCCTCCTGCTGGGGAGCGACCCGCTTTGTGCTTTGCCCGCTATCCCATTATAATACAGTACCAGGGTGCATCCGTGCTTCGCAAGACGAAAAAATCCGCAAGACGAAGAAACTCGCAGAACGGATTAATTTCGTCTTGCGAGGCACCACTGTAATCTTTCGCTGCAGCCTTCTTCAGGGAATACAAGTGCAATCCTGCCCATGTCTAGTCAGAAGTAAGACCCATTGAGTTCTGTGAGACTTTCTCACAGATAAGTGTGTATTGCAGGGGTGTAGGACTCCAACTCTGTCAGGCCCCAGTCAGCAAGGGCAGTAGTGAGGGATGCTGGGAATCATAGTCCAACACCTGTAGAGTCACATGTTCCACACTCTGCTGCACTATGAAGGCAGCCTTAGTCTTTGCCAGTAATGCACGTTCAGAACTCCCACTATAGTTATTAAGAAGCAAAAGCAAATCCTGAGAATTTCCCATACATTTTTAATTCAGAGCTTCAGTGAAACTGATCTTATAAAAGTCATTTAATCATTTGGTCCAGTTTCTTGTCTTTGGATAATTTCTATGATGTGCATACATCATAGACAAGGAATTTCACAAAGAAGCCACGTATGTAAAAAAGCACTCACAGACATAAGTGCTTGGTGGGAAAATGTTAATTTATTATGTAAGGTGTTGCTTTTTGCTTTCTATTCAACCATTTTGTTTTGTTTTATTTTAAAGAGAAACAAAGGGGCCATCCATTACAGAAGGTGAAATGTTGATTTATATAATTATCGTTAGCAAGATTCATTATACCTTTCTGCAGTGGTGAACACTAAATAACAGAATGTGAAATTAACTCTTCTTCACCCAAATACTAATTCTCCTTATCCTCAGCCAGTGCTTTTGTGGAGCTGTAGCTTTTATTCGAAGGCATTCAATGTCACCTTTATTAGTCTGATCTTCCATTTCAAAAAATCCAGACTTAAAATCCCCAATTGGTATGAAGGATAGGCATGTTTGACGTTCATTTAAGTGGACTTTGAGCCTGCCCTTTTCTACAAAACCATTATGAAGAATGTCTGTGCTATGTTCGGCTGACCCTGTGTAAATCTGAATCTTCTGGGGAATAATTGGGTTGTCAAAAACAATGGTGAAGTAGCTTTTTGCTGTCACATTCATACCCCAAAAGACACCCCTTCCAGGGGGACACACATTGGCCGGTATGTAATTTCCATATATTTGCATGTTTGTGAAACAGGAAGCAGTAAGGGCATCACCCAAACTTCCAATGTCTTCATAAAACTCTGAATCTGTGTGTTGTACTTCCAGCTCGTGAAATGAAGAAATTCTCCCTACGTGCTGGAAGAGAGAAGGCCAATAGAAAATAGTTTCTCCTTGCATTTTGGTTTTATGAAAATATGTCATGAGCCAGTCCGCGGGAATAACATCATAAAACATCAAGAGAAACCGAGCTAGTTTGGTGAGATCAGAGCTATGATAGAGCTTCCCTATGTAGCCTAGCCTTGAAAATGCTATTGTGGTCCAGGATTCCTCCATCGTCCTTACATAGCTTTGTATAATGGACACAAAACCAGTGGCACAGGCAGTGTCATCCTCTAGCATCAAATAATACTGAGAGAGATTGGCACAAAAGTTAACTAAATAAGCATAATCTACATTCTGTTTAGATTTATATTTGATGTTTTTGCCCCAAAGATCTACTTTCAGATTGTGCACAGGAGGGTAACTTTCTACAGAGCTTTGTATAACAAGCAGCCTTCCTGCCTTCACATGCGCACTAAACTGAACCTTCATCTCCTCGGCGTTTTCCTTGTTCAGCTTAGAATCGTTATTGGCTAGGTATATAACTACGGTGATCAGATTTAATTCTTCTTGGCGGCAGTGACTGAAAATGGAATCAATTGTCTTCAACAAAAGGTGTTCCTTCTTTTTGTGGAAAGAAGAGATTCCAATGGTCAAGAATCCTAGAACAAGTAAAGACTATAAGAATATTGAGCATTTATACAGCATTTTGTATGTTCAGAGCACCGGGTGCGTTATTTGAATATCACCACAATCTTGTGGCTTTATTATTATTCATGTCAGCTCCCCATCTGCAATATGGGCAGGGCTTTTTCCCCAGCTAGAACTCACTGGAACTCAGTTCCTGCACCTCTTAGGTGGGCACCATTGCCATTCTAAGAGAACAAGAGAGGCATTCACTGTGAGTTCCAGCACCTCTTTTTCTAGAAAAATAGCGCTGAATATGGGGGTGAGAGTGTAAGCTCGATCTACAGCAGCATGAGTTGAATTCTGCTTGTGGAACACTCCTTTCCTGGCTGTCTTCTTCACAAACCCCTCCCCAAAAAGCTGGTCCTGGGGGTGTAGTTGGGGCTGTTGCAAAGGAGCAGTAGTGTCCTTGGAGTTCATGGCAGAAACTCCTTCACGACACAGCCTTCTGGCAACTGTGCAAGACCAGCCCTCCTGTCCATAAGATGCATGCCAAGATCCTGCATTTCATCCTCTCCTGACCAATTAACACATGCCTTTCTCATGGTTACCTCTTTCCAAAGCAAACAGGTGGTTTCTGGGGGTGAAAACTCAGCGTGGGAGATCATGGGCATGATTGGCTTATTTCTGCAGACTTTGCTAAAACATACTTCAGTAACCACAAGCTATGTCTTAAAGGCCTGTTGACCATTTAGATCCCTGACCACTGGCTGGGGTTGAAGGGAGTTGGAGTCTAAAAGCATCTGGAGAACCGCTGGTTAGCCACCTCTGATATACAGTGTGTTCAGGGCTAACAGCTGTTCTAAAATTCATTTGTTAAAAATTGACATAGAAAATGATCTCGAGGAAAATCATAATGAGGCATAGATGGCTTACCAGGCAGGGATGCGGGTGGCGCTGTGGTCTAGACCACAGAGCCTAGGGGTTGCTGATCAGAAGGTCAGTGGTTCGAATCCCCACAACAGGGTGAGCTCCCATTGCTCGATCCCTGCTCCTGCCAACCTAGCAGTTCGAAAGCACGTCAAAGTGCAAGTAGATAAATAGGTACCGCTCCAGTGGGAACATAAATGGTGTTTCCGTGCGTTGCTCTGGTTTGCCAGAAGCGGCTTAGTCATGCTGGCCACATGACCCGGAAGCTGTACACCGGCTCCCTTGGCCAGTAAAGCGAGATGAGTGCCGCAACCCCAGAGTCGTCCACGACTGGACCTAATGGTCAGGGGTCCCTTTACCTTTTTACCAGGCAGATGGTGGGTGAGTTATTTATTTTTACATTATTTCCCTCCACAAACCATTAAGGTTTCAATTCCCCTCATAGTTACTTACTCTTTATTGAAGGAGGTGATCCCAAGAGATATTTATACTGAATAGGTAAGAGACCTGTAGCACTTTCCATTACACTGAAATCTGGATTCTTCTTCAATATAATATTTTCTGAGGTGATTGTCTCCATTCTATCTGTATCCTTAAATATAACAACAGTAGACTGTTTTTTTATATCAGCTGTGAGGCTTCCTTTCTCATAACTCCATCACTGTGTGAATCCTATGTTATATTATTATGCAGAATTCTGTACCCTACAAGATGGCATATCCCGTTCATCAGAAATTCTGCAACTAAGCTCAATATGCAGCATTCCTTCATCTGCTTTACCCCGTCTTGCATTTTAGATTTTAAACCCCCGAAGGCAGGGTTATGTTCTCTTGCAAATTGCAAAGCTCCATGCACTCTGGTAGCACTATAATAAAATATAGAAATGAATGGTATAGTTCTGAACAATGGGCTGAATCCATAGATGCCCATGCAGAAGAACTAGTAATGCATCCCGTAATTTGATGTACACGCACATTGCAGACACAGCTATTAGCTTTCCACAGGGCTTAGCTTATTGTCCAAGGACTTGGGAAGGAATAGACTGTCAGGTAACTAGTATGTGTGGCATGCAAGGACTTTGATAATCAATAATATCACATTGAACCTGGCATATCAGCTGAGGACAAGCGCTCAGGAAGAGAGGAGGAGTCCACAGAGTTCCATAACCAAGTGTCACCGTGGGAAAGACTTTCTTACCCATCTCCACATAATGCACCACTTCCACTGATGGAGCACTGAATATACTTTCAAGAAATTTCAATTCTCAGTCAAGAATATACTGTGGTACCTCAGGTTAGGAACTTAATTCGTTCTGGAGGTCTGTTCTTAACCTGAAACAGTTCTTAACCTGAGGTACCACTTTAGCTAATGGGGGCCCCTGCTGCTGCCATGCTGCCGCCATGCGATTTCTGTTCTCATCCTGAAGCAAAGTTCTTAACCCAAGGTAATATTTCTGAGTTAGCGGAGTCTGTAACCTGAAGCGTATGTAACCTGAAGTGTCTGTAACCCAAGGTACCACTGTACAGGGAAAGGTGCTTCCATAAGTATCCAGCTGAAGCTGTTTGGGGCTTTTTCCTCACCTCCTCTGGAGATGCATCATCGCATAAATGTTGTGTGAAGTGCAAATAACCTCATGGGGAAACCCTACCGACAACTCTTTGTTACCTACCTTTAATCCAGATTCTTCCCATTTGGGACAATTGCATGTCTCCTTGCTTTGTTTCCAAATAATAGCAGACAATACAATGGAGAGTCCTAAGAAAAAGCATAACCTAGAAAAGTTCCCCCAGTAGCAGGCTAGCGACTTCTTCAGGCTCCTGTGCACCATTGCCATTCCCCACCAAGGGCCTGTTTAAATGGAAACGGCCAGTCTTAATACTCTTGCTATGGCAAGAAAAGGTTCTGAAATGAAAATGAAAATTATGTTGTTTTAATATATGCACTTTTTTTATAAAAAAATGGGTGTTTGCGCTGAGCAAATCTTTTAGAAGCAAAATGATACAAAAGTCCTTTTTGTTAAATCCGGGTATACAGTGATATTATGATCAGAAAAATGCTAATCATTTAGAAACATTGCAAAATCAGCTTCTCCCTTGGGTGTGGAGTGCAAGTCTGCTCAGGATTTTAGGCCAAATTTAGACCTTATGTAAGAACGTTGCATTGGGGTTGCTGCAGATTGCTGGAAAGAACATCCACATTGGTTACAGAGGAGCAAAAGGAACTCCTGTCAACAGGTTTGCATAGAGATGTTGCTGAGTTCCTTAATCCCTTGCCTTGGAATATGAACCTCGGTGACTCAGCTTGCTTACTTTAAATATGAGATGAGCATTAAAACCCTCTGAGCTCTTTTCTGGCTTGGGTTTTATGAAGACCAGAGAAGAACTGAAGTAGTCTCTACTAGCCAGCTACCCCCACACATGCTGGTATCCAGTGCCTCTTCCCCCCACCCTGACTACAATTCCCCTTAATGTTTTTTATACAGTAAAGTATATGTTTGTCCTATACAAACAGTAAAGTATGTTCGTCCTTTTAAGGAAACACAACAGGGCTTACCAAGTGACTCAGCTCACTAAGTACTTGTGCAGCAATGACTGTGCAGGAACAGAGAGGGTGTAAAACAATTGTTCTCCTCCTTATGAAGCTTTGGGTCAGTGGCATCCTTCATGGTCTGGTCTGGTGGGGCCCAACTGCAATTCCTTCTCTCTCTTCCCAGAAGCCTCCAACTGCTACAGAACCTGTCAGCCGATCAATAGAACTAGAACCTTCTCCTACGATCCTCTCCCACCACTGCTGCTGGATGGACTGGTGTACCTCAACACCACGTGATAAGGTAGCTCATATGAATTTATCTATGACAGGTATATGAGATACCTGTTGTCCAAATATTTTCTGCATTCCAGTTGTTTTTTAAACAGGAACGTTATTTTCCCCACACACTTCTAGAACTCCTATTTCTGCAGTATCGTGCAAAGCACGGGGCCTTCTATTGAACTATGGACGTCCCCCCATACAGGGGTGAATAACTGCAGGTCCAGGGAACAAATGCCAGCCCTTCAGAGTCTCCCCAGGCCACAGCCCTCACTGACTGCAGCAGGGCTCTGTCTCTGAGCTCTGGCAAAGACTCTTCCTTACCTGGATGGAGGTGTGAGGGGAGAGAGAGAGAGAGCGCCAATTGCTGTATGATGAAAAGAGTTTCATCTGTTCCTCTGCCCAATTTTGCCTCTAGTCCCACCTACCACTGGCAGGCAGCCCAGGAAGGCTCCTCAGGAACAAATGTGTCTCTTGGTCTGAAAAAGGTTCCTCATTCCTGTCACAATATGCACATAATAGTGAAGGCTGAAAGCTTACCTTCCAACGCTCTGCAGCCCAAACGTGGGACACCATCTTCTGGGTCCAAAATCCCATGTGAATCGTGTGACCCATGTGAGATCAAGGACCCGGAAAAATGCTTTTTGGGGCACAGTGCCCAAAAGCATGCATTTTGGGGTGCCATGTGAAATCACAGACCCAGAAAAAATGTTTTTTTTCCTTGAATGATTTGGCCCCAAATCACATGAGAGCAACGTGCCCTAAATGGCCACCATGCTCTCACAGAAAAAAGAGATGTCCTGGTTTTTCCAGGGCAGTTGACAAGTATGTGAAAGTGCTTGTATTCATCTGTTGGTGGGATTCAACTAAGTGGTTGCAGGCATGGAACAAGGTCTGTTCGCAGATAAGCAAATGGACAGTTTCTTGGACATGAGAGCCACTCACCCACAGGGCCCCCAGCTTATCACGATTGGCTGTTGCTACCTTGTATGTGTACAATACAGCCACTTCAGCTCCGACAGTGAATTTCTTGTACACCCGCAGACACACGTACACTTGTAATCCTCGATATGTGAAGAGGAAACAGCACTTAAGCCTTACCAGTTGTATGTTGCCATGTAAAGGACCTCTAAAAAGGAGGACCACAAACCTACCCTTTTCACTCACAACACTCTTCCTACAGCAAGTCTCCATCCCTGTAACATGTAGACTGTGGACATAAGACCTGTTCCTGGAAACATTTTAAACATTTTTTTAAAAAGTTAATCTGTGTATGTCCATCAGCGCCAAAGGTCATTTGTGCTAACAAGTCTCCAGTGAGGCCTTTCCACTTCACCCAAATGCCAAGTCAGTAAATCAAGCCTAATAAGGATGTTTTGTGTTGCCCCTTCTGGTATCCGAAAAATAAGAGAGAGAGAGAGAGAGAGAGAGAGAGAGAGAGAGAGAGGACATCTCCAATTCCTCAGGTTCCAACTAAAGAGCTTGTAAGCAGTTGCCAGCCGATGACAGCTAATAAGCCAGACTCGGATGCTGAATGCACAGGTCTAGCCCAACACCCCTGCTGAGTCGACAATCTGGAATTTGGCTTCACTGCCTGTGGCTTTCAAGGATTTCGAGAGATGCAGCACATTGATTTAATGTTTAAAAGGGACCCCTGCTGCGGCTTCCGCAGCTTGCTCTATTGCCTTGGGAGTTAGGCGGCAACATAACACACAATAGGAGTGATGCCACTCAGCAATTCTGTGCTTATAAACAACATTCAGTGTTTGGGAACCTGGGATTCCAGTCAAAAGGGCATCAAGATTTCATGCCTCCCATCTGCAACAGGAAGCCATTTCCCTCTCCTATATGAAGCCACAAAATTCTTTATAATAGCACTTATTTCTCTCCCTGCCCCCCTTCCCTATTCCAGGAGTGTCTTCCTTATCAACTTGGTTGAATTAAAATATTTAGCCTTCCAGAGGGCTGTGTTGCACTTCATGCTTCAAAATCAACAAATTGTAAGGTGAACTTCATAGGCAGCAGCTTTTCCAGATGAAAGAAAAGAGAGGCCCGTGGGCCTTAAGAGATTACCAGATTTTTTTACACCCTAACTTTTTGAGGGATTACAGTTCACCTCATCAGATGGAAGCACTGTTATAGGCCTGGCAGGGTGAGTCTGGGGCTGAATCCTATCCCACCATTATAATGAGAAATGAGGGTGAGGGAATAGATTCTGTGGATTACAGTTAGAAAATGGTCCAATGATCTGATCTGAAACCTGTGTCAGCTTGAAGACGGGCCTTGCCGCTTTTGTGGTAAAAAGGCTAGGAAACGGCTTGTTTTGAATGCTTGACGAGACTGGCATGTTGACAGGTGCTGTGCCTTTTTCTTCCATACACTGTGCTTGGGTGATTTTTCTGGAAAGATTTCGCGGTTTGAGCTGCATCTTTTGGGAAAGGCGTTTGTTGTGCTGGGTCAAAGAGAATATCTCGCATGTGATTTCGTCTAAAAGCAGTGTGGTGTGCTTGTAGTTTATACTGAAAAGGAATTTTTGCGGTCAGTGTTAGGCAATGGAATTTAAGAAGGGTGTTCTCCCAACATGCTCAATACAAATCTGTCATCAGAGAAGTCTAAGTGGAGGGGAGCCTTGAATGGAATGCTGGGTAGAATGAGGGTGGATTCAGATGTGGGGGAAATCACTTTAATGCTCATTCTTCTGTCCTGTTTCCTAATGTTCCTTTCACACTGCAGTACCTGTTGCATTATGGTTCTCTGGCCTTTTGACTGATATACTGGCATGTTGCACTAAATTTCATTCACATCACTGACCATGGTGTGGCACAACAACAAAAGTCACTGGACAAGGTCACTAGCCCCCCACGTTTCAGCACATGCATGTTTCTGTCCCTCCACGATTCCCCCATGAAAACAGCAGGAAATGAACTGCATGCCGGTACACTGGCCGAAATGTTGTCCTTCGATTCCTGCAATTTTCTGAGTTGATGGAGTTGCAAAAGGTTGGTTTTTTTCCTGGAAGCAATTAATATGGAAATGAGCACTGTCTCTTCTCTCTACAAGAAAGCCAAGGCTTTTGCAAGTTACTTCTTGGAATCTTGCAGATACAGTTTGGCTGGTATGAAACATTGCTTCCTTACAGCAACATTCTCTTTACAGATGCTTCCAAGATGAAGGCCTCACACGGCAAATGTGTCCTTGGTATATGTATATGTGTGTGTGTGTGTGTGTGTGTGTGTGTGTGTGTGTATGTACACACATACTAAGGACTCATTTGTAGTGTAAGGCATGCAAGCATGCATGCATACATACATACATACAGGTATAGATATAGCTAGATTAAGTGGATAAAAATAATATGGACTTTTTTTAAAAAAAAAAACAACCTATGCATAATGAGCACCAGTCCCATAATTAACACCCATCTGGATGCACCCTGACTTTGCCTTAAAAATATGTTCTGGAGGAATAGGTCCAACTGTTCTCTTGGGTTCATGTTTCTTGTTTTAGGCAGACCCACCTGCATGAGACATTCAGAGATTTTCATGCTTTGGGTATCAGATTCGCATCATTTGAAAGACTTGTGTTGCTTGAAGTGTGCGGCTATCATAGCCAAACATGTTTGATAATTCTAAAACTTAGTTGAATTATTATTATTATTATTGGCCACACAAAATAGTGAGCAACTTTCTCCAGAACTCTTCACCAGCTCAGGGTCTGGTGGGAGGCAGAGCAGGGGGATGGGGAGAGAGAGAGACAGTGGTGTGGTGTTCATGCTGTCAAGTCTGCATTAGCTTCCAGACGGGGTATCAGAAAAGACAGTAGACCTGAAGATAAAATCCCCCATTTTTGAAAATACAAAACCCTGTAGTCTTCTATATTTCTCTCTAGCTGTAATCTTCCACTTGGAGTACTCAAAGTCTTTCTTACTAACTTTTGATATTATGGTAGGCCTAATAAAGGTGGTGCCCTACTATGTTTGTCTTTTTTAATGGGTCTGCATAAATACTTTTCTTTTTCTGGATGATTTATGATGTTACTGATCAATATTAACCACTAGGTGGCTCCATTTACACGGCAACTCTATTCTTTCGACAAATGCAGAAAACCCACCTGCTGCTGGTCAGATGAGCTTTCCAGCAGATGTGATACTGGTTTATGCATACGGGGGCAATTATCATACTGTGAATCACAATGAGGCATTATTGTCTCTGAGCCACAACCTCATTGTATAGAGAAAACATATAGGCCGTACATAATTCAGCCTTGTAAATAGCCCAGAAAAGTTACTAGCCTGCCATTTCCTTTGACTAGCCAGCTCAGAGACTTGTAGGCTGTGTTCCCATGCTGGCCACAGCATGACGACACAGGATACCAAACTCTCAGCAGCCCAGTTTGGGGTTTTTTTTTAAGCTTATTACCAAAGAAGTTGGCAAAGGAAGGAGGTGCTCAGGGATGGGCTTCCATTCCTCCCTAGTGAGTACAGAAATGAAGTTGACTGGCAGAGGAATGGAGAGGTCCAGCCTTCCATTGCCAATTCAGTCAATTGCCTGCCTGAAATTCTGTGCATTCACCTGGTCACCTACAGTGTGAGCAAGCTACTTCTCCACATTTGCCTTACAAGGAATATGCCAAGGTGGGGAGAGGATGAGCTCTTTTGTGACTTACGTGCCCAGCATCTATTCAGAGGGAATGATTTCACCTAGACTCGCTAATCAAAGTGCTATGGGGGAAGGACATTGAAGTAATGTTTTGCCTTGTTGTTGCCTGTTCAGTGCTCTTTGCTAGTTTGGGCAGCCTCCAAAGTGCTTTGGGCCAAGTCACGCACTTTTCCAAAACTGGATTCCAAACTTGATCTTGGTCATGCATACA